GAGTCCCCTATGAGGCCTCCTCCATCCCCTCTTAGCCTCACCCAAACCACTGGTTACAAACAGCGAATGAAACACAAGCACACAACGCAAACTCCAGCCGTCCAGCTATAACATTAATCCAGCCACCCCTAGGGTGCTCCATCCTTTACCAGTCTCCAATGGCTGATACACTCAGGGCTCTTCACTCTCCTCACTCAGGCAGAGCTCCTTCCCCTTTTGTCTGCCAGTGTCAGGTTTGACCTAGAAACCACTATACAAAGCCCAAGCAAAAGTCTCTGTTCTGTAACTAATGCCCATCTGCAATGATAAGGAGAAGACAGTCTTAGATAAAGGAGGCTTGAAAACAAAAACAGAATTAGTGGAGTAGGGCAAAGAGCTGATTTAAATATTAAGATTCACACCCCTAGGTGGGGAGAAAGTATGCTAATGAAACATACATGTATGGAAATGAGATACATAGCTAAAACACAGGTATAGAGACATGCTCAGTAAAGAACTCCTTGCGTCACTCCCTTATAACCAATTAGCAAACAAGAATGCTTATGAAGGTCCAATACTCCTGTATAAAAGATGCTCATAATTAAGAATCTGTGTGCTTGTTACGTGAAATTATTCCGCTTGCACCTTGTATTGCTAGCAATAAATCTTCTTTATACTCTCACCCCTGGTATCTTTATTGGCTTTTGCATACCGGGCACGATCCCAGACTTGAGCTGGGGCTCAACAGTTTTTGGCGACCCAGATGGGACTGCCTTAGATAACTTTGCCCGGACTAGCTGACGACCAGACACAGCTCCTCCTTATCAAATGTCAGGCGCGCCCAGGGATCTCTTTTCCCGGTGAGACTTTTGTTTCAGGGGGAGCTGGATTGCTGAGGCGGCAGTAGCCTAACGGTGCAAAGCCATAGAGTGAAAGTATCAGTAACAGGCACCTGGGTGAGACGGTAGGCCTTATGCCCTTTCTACCCTCTCACCCAGGTGCCTGTTACTGATACTTTCACTCTATGACTTTGCACCGTTAGGCTACTGCCGCCTCAGCAATCCAGCTCCCCCTGAAACAAAAGTCTCACCGGGAAAAGAGATCCCGGGGCGCGCCTGACATTTGATAAGGAAGAGCTGTGTCTGGTCGTCAGCTAGTCCGGGCAAAGTTATCTAAGGCAGTCCCATCTGGGTCGCCAAAAACTGTTAGGCCTCAGCTCAAGTCTGGGATCGTGCCCGGTATGCAAAAGCCAATAAAGATACCAGGGGTGAAAGTATAAAGATTTATTGCTAGCAATACAAGGTGCAAGCGGAATAATTTCACGTAACAAGCACACAGATTCTTAATTCTAAGCATCTTTTATACAGGAGTATTGGACCTTCATAAGCATTCTTGTTTGCTAATTGGTTATAAGGGAGTGACGCAAGGAGTTCTTTACTGAGCATGTCTCTATACCTGTGTTTTAGCTATGTATCTCATTTCCATACATGTATGTTTCATTAGCATACTTTCTCCCCACCTAGGGGTGTGAATCTTAATATTTAAATCAGCTCTTTGCCCTACTCCACTAATTCTGTTTTTGTTTTCAAGTCTCCTTTATCTAAGACTGTCTTCTCCTTATCATTGCAATTGAGCATTAGTTACAGAACAGAGACTTTTGCTTGGGCTATGTGTAGTGGTTTCTAGGTCAAACCTAACATTTTCCCCCTCTGGAGCATTTTTAATTATTTTTATTATAATTGCTCCACTCAATTTGTTTCAACACAAACCTAGTATTCTCAGCTTTCTTCGTTTGTAAAATCATTTGATTCACCTTAGGTCTGAAGATAGATAAGACGACAGGTGAACATTGTATACATAGGATATTTGATTGGTCTTGTTACAAAGGATTCTTCTACCTTGGTTCAATTTGAAGCAATTATTAGTACAATTAACTATTAGGAAACATTCAGAAGCATTAGCTGTTGCCTGAACCCGTACGGAAAACATGTCTCTATTCTTCTCTTTTACAATAGTCCCCCACTTATATATATTCTGATATGTACTTTTCTTCTCTACATTCTTCAGCATAGTATAATTTTGTAAAATTTTTAAAGGGGTTGGTACTGCGATTAAGCATGAGGTAAAAACCAGGTGAGCATTGATCCCTCCCGCTAAGCAGAAGTCCGTTCTATTTAAAATTTCCCGGGCCAGATAAATCCAGACATTTTCCTGAGGGTCAAATTTTTGTTGTAAAAGGGTTTCCCCTCCTATAAGTAGGAGTGGACAGATCAGGGTGCCCCACAATAAAACCTTGAACAATTTCATAATAAGGCTTATAAAACTTAATCAAAGATTGTCAAATTATTCAAAGTTCCTTTCTTTTGAATAGGAATTTCAAGTCTCTTATTGGCTCCACCTTCCACTGTTCTCTGTCTCCGGTCCCGGAGTCTGCAGGGATTCCTTCTTGTTCTGGTCCAGCCACCGGCTTTAGGCGACTGGAATGTATCCAAGTCTTGATTCCTTCGAGCTTTGCGGCCGTCGGGGTCGTTAGAAGTACCCTATATGGGCCTTTCCATCTGGCTCGAAGTGGTTCCTCGTTCCAATCTTTCACAAGGACGTAACTCCCAGGTAATAATCGATTTCCCAGGGCAGGATACTGGTCCTGTGTCTGCAGCACGTCCCGTACCTGCTGATGGATGGAAGACAAAACAGAAACCAAGGACCATACATATTCTCTAATCATTCCCTCTCCTAAAACATGTAACTGTTGTTCAGTACCCATGGGCAGACTCAGAGGGTAAGGCTTACCATACATTATTTCAAACGGGCTTAATCCCAATTTAGAATGTGGTGCGACCCTTACTCGTAACAGGGCCAAGGGTAGGGCCTCTGGCCATTTGAGTCGAGCTTCTTGGCAAATCTTTGCAAGGTGTCTTTTTAAGGTCTGATTCATACGTTCCACCTTTCCACTGGACTGAGGTCTCCAAGGGGTGTGTAAATGCCAGCTGATTCCCAGGAACTCAGAAACCTTCTGAGTAATTTGTGCAATGAAATGTGGGCCATTGTCTGACCCTATTCCTTTTGGAAGTCCGAAGCGAGGTATGATTTCTCGTAGGAGTGTCTTGACTACCTCCCGGGCTTGGGCAGTCCGACATGGGAAGCACTCAACCCAATTAGAGAAAGTGTCCACAAAGACAAGGAGATATTTTATCTCTTGTTGCCGGGGCAACTCAGTAAAATCCACCTGCTATTCTTCTCCTGGCCCATTGCCTATTCTCTGATGTCCTGAAGTTTTTCTTCTCCCTCCTTATGGGTTATTTCTCTGGCAGACCTCACATGTCTCTGATACCTCCTTGGCAGCCTCTCTTAATCCCACTCTAGTTACATAGTAACTGATCCATCTTACCAGGGCCCTGGGTCCGTAGTGGGTACCATGATGAGTGCTCTTTACTACCACATGAACCCAGGCAGCTGGGATGATAATGCGGCCATCCCTTGCTACCAGCCACCCGTGCTCCCCCTTCTTTGCTTGAAACTCTTTTATCAATTGTTTGTCTCTCAGATTTGGCCTTGAAGAATAAACAGCTTCCAATGTTTGCAGGCAGTCATGTACAAGATCTGGTGTGTCAGCCATAGATGGCAGCAGTGTTGCTGGATTTACAGTGCGAAAAATGGCCAATTTTTTT